ACTTCTTACATGTTGAACCTCTCAATACCTGAACTTTTACTTCTATACATGTTGAACTCAAATACCTGTACTTTCTACTTCTTACATGTTGAACACAAAATACACTGTACTTTCTACTTCTTAATGTTGAACTCAAATACCTGTACTTTCTACTTCTTATTCATGTTGAACACAAATACCTGTTACTTTCTACTTTTACATGTTGAACACAGATACCTGTACCTATCTACTTCTCTTCATTTCCAACAGGCTGGTTCCTTTAGTACTGAAGTGTGTTTTGGTGGCGTGGATTCATTATTATTTAGAGTCATTGCTGCCTATTGATTTGAACACGATCCGTGTATCCTCATTCCTGGTCTTCTCTAAAGGAAGAGACCAATGAAAAACGTTGTCCATAGTTGCCGTTGTTCAGCATGGAAACATTCATTAGCTAACAATGACATTATTGTTCTATTAATATAAAGGGAGGTCAGGTACTCTTTAAAACAGCTGCTAGTTATGGGTACTTTTTACTGAAGTACATTTCAAAGCCTCTTTACTTTCACTTGAGTAAAGAAGTTTATTTAGTACTTCTACTTTCACCAGAGTATCTTTAAACACGAGTATCTGTACTTCTACTTGAGTAAAGGATGTGTGTACTTTTACCATCTCTGATCATATTCCGTTTACCTGTAGACTCTTCTTGCACTATTTCTATTTGTATTTACTTGCACATCTCAAAACATTCTCTTGCACTATTTTTTCAGTTTGATTAGTGCTATGTCCTATATATATATTCCTGTTGCTCTGCTGGAGGAGCTTTAAGGTGTACATGGTGGTGTGCTTCTCCTTGCTACAGAATATAATTAATGAGGATTATCAGGATATGAAATGCAATAAAAGCAGATTCCCTCACCTCCATGTGACCAAACGTCTGCACCAGTGGGATGACCTCCAAGCCTTTGGACTGAGCAAACTCCTGCATGGATAAAACCTCCTCTCGGCTGGAGGAACAGAGAAACAGTAAACAGAGCTATAACTTTTCCACTATTCAACAAACAGATGTTTATGCTTTAGAAAAACATCACTGGTCTCCAGCTTGATCTTCAACCTCAGGATCCATGTATCTGTGATCCTCTCCAGAATGG